TGACACACCAGACGACAGCGTCCGGCACCCGGCATGGCCATATCGTGCGGCCTCAGGACACGGCCATTCATAGGAGACCGTGAGTAGCGGAATTGTCGGGTTTTGGCCAATATGCTGTGACGATCACGCGCTGATTTTCTGTTTTATTTATTGTAGCTGACCTGGAGATGATATCCTGGAGATGGCAGGAACTTTCTGGATGGCGAGGTGGCCTTCCTTGGCGCTCCACATGGATCCTTCCCACCGGGCATTCGAGAGCATAGTCGATGACTGAGATCCGCAGAGTGGATGAAAGTTGGGACTCGTCGGGTCTCGTGACCTGGGATATTTGAGTCAGCTTTGGGGACGGGGAGGTCCAGGCTGTGGCCCCTTAGGCCGCACGGTGGGAGAGCCTCACTTTTGTTCACAGTGCTGAGGTGTGCAGGACAGAGCAGCCTCGGGGCGTGGTGTGTCACTTGTCCGTCGTGCCTTCTGTGTCTTTTGTGCCTCTCGTGTTGTATGTGCCTTCCCTTATCCCTTCTGGGGGCTTACCAGAAACCCTGACACCATTCTTAGCATCTCCAATCTCTGGGCTCCTTGGCTCGGCTGCTCTCAGAGGCCTCGGAATCGCGTCTCTTTTGAAAAGCATCCGATCGGATGTCTTTTAGACGTCTTCTTCTGAGCTGTGTCAACAGCTGTGCACCGCGAGGATCCATTGTTGCGGCTTAGGACTTGAAGAAACGCAAAGATAGGTAGGAGACTGTGGCCCTCAGGTTCTTGAGCATCTGTCTTGGCAGTTCCTGGAGTTAATTGTTCCATCAGCATCTTCTTCCTCCCGGGTTCTGTGAGCTTCATCAGCTCGCCTTCATTCTCACCTGGCTCATCTCGTTCCGCATTCTCTCAGTCCTTGCGGCCGTCCTTGTGGCCCAGAGTTTTGTCTCCCCATTGTGTCCCCTCGTCTGTTGTCTGGTGTGTCACGGGTGTCTGGGTGTAGTTGTCCCAGAGCCGCTCTGCCCTGCTGCCCAGCCTGGCTGTAGGTGTAAAAGGCCAAGTCCCAGGCCCCTGTAATTTGAAATTTGTGATGTAGGGTGTAGTTGGGGTCTAGAACATATTCCTCGATCAACACAAGATGTCTGGAGCTGTGAAGTTACCCTGCAGCACTTTGACTTTTGTCTCAGCTCTCTTTCAGATGCGGATGGATGAAATCAGTGGCAGAGAGCCCCATTCAGGGTAAGGGGGTTCCCCCGAGAAGGTAAGTCAGTGTTTGTCTTTGCAGGGCAACTGGAACCGGTCCCTGTGTTACAGGTCTCCTCTTTGTCTTTATTTTTAGGAAATAGAGCCGGCTAGCAGTAGTCAAGGTGAAGTGGGCAAGGTGAGCGTTGACCGGTGGAGGGAGGCTGTTGTTATCGCTGGGCTCTCAGTTTCTAGTGCAACGCCAAGCGTCCCTTCTTGTTTGCGTGCTTTAGGCGGTCCAGTCGCGTTTCGTCAAGACCCCGTCGCCAGCCGGCCGGCACGCCTGCTTCGCCGCTCCCGTGAGCCCTGCGGAAGCGTCACAGGGACCGCGTGACGGAGCCTTTTCCACGTAAAGGGGCCTTGTGGCTGGCCTTCAGGAAGGGGCCGAGGGCTTCCCGTGAGTTGGGGATGTCGGGGGGAGGAGCGAGGGCCTGTTCAAGTCTCAGCAATGCCTCATCACTTTTTCTTCTCTTAACTCAGGCGTGCCCTGCGACGACGCTGCCTGGTCCCGGCGTGGCCGTATCGTGCGGCCTCAGGACACGGCCGTTCGCAGGAGACCGTGAGTAGCGGAATTGTTGGGTTTTGGCCGATGCCCTGCAAAGATCAGCTGCTGATTTTCTGTTTTATTTTTGGTAGCTGATGGAGAGACAACAGCCTGGCGATGGCAGGAACTTCCCGGATAGCCAGGCGGCCTTCCTTGGCGCTCCGTGTGGATCCTCCCCAGCAGGCATCCAAGAGCTGAGTCGAAGGCTACGACCCGCGGAGGGGATGAAAGCGGGGTGCCGGGTCGGGGCTCGTGACCTGGGATTTTTGAGTCAGCTTTGGGGACGGGGAGGTCCAGGCTGTGGCCCCTTAGGCCGCACGGTGGCAGAGCCTCACTTTTGTTCACAGTGCTGAGGTGTGCAGGACAGAGCAGCCTTGGGGTGCGTCGTGTCACTTGTCCATCGTGCCTTCTGTGTTTTTTGTGCCTCTTGTGTTGTACGTGCCTTCCCTTATCCCTTCTGGGGGCTTACTAGAAACCCCAGTGTCACTCATAGCATCTCCGATCTCTGGGCTCCTCGGCCCGACGCCATTGAAGCTTTGCCTCAGGAGCTCTCAGAGGCCTTGGAATCGCGTCTCTTTGGACAAGCATCCGATTGGATGTCTTTTAGACCTCTTGTTCCGAGCTGTGTCAACAGCCGTGCGCCGCGAGGATCCATTGTTGCGGCTTAGGACTTGAAGAAACGCAAAGATAGGTAGAGGATTGCTGCCATAAGATTCTTGGGCCTCCGTCTTGGCGGTTCCTGGAGTTTGTCATTCCGTCAGCATCTTCTTCCTCCCGGGTTCTG